CTTGCTTACATATGACAGTTCCTCTTCCCTTTTCCTTTCTTTCCTCTCTGTGTTTCTGAAATATGTATATAACAGCATCCAATCCCCTGAACTATCTCTATTAATCTTTACTGGCTTAAGTCACCATTTTCATAATGTATGAAATTTTCTTGTTCAAGGCAGACAAAGTTTTCAGCAGAATGACTGCCTTCTTGGCTTGTTATGATCTTACTACTTATCTCACTCTATTACTTAAAAGGAAAAAAGAATAAAAAAATCTCTGTTTTATAAAAAGCAATGAATCACATTGTTTTGACTTTTTTCTTTTTCTTTTTTTTTTCCATTTTCTTTTTTCTCTTTTCTCTTTTTTCTTTCTTCTTTCTTTTTTGTTTTTTTAAGGCAAGAAGAATTATAGTAATTCTGCTGAATTCTTCACATTTATCACTTAAGTGTCTCCCAAAACAGTCCTGATAACTTCACAGGCGAGAATAAAACGCATATCCTTGTTCTTTAGTCTTTGAGAAAATGTGTTCTACAGAGAACTTGTAAAGCTATTTCAGCATTAATGAATTCTTGCAAATTGCTCTGTTTAGAAACTGTTATAAATAAATAGTTATCTTTGATGATACTGTTTAGTTAAAAGAATCAGATGTGTTCCTGCTCTGCAGTTTCTGGGAAACCACAAATAATGGTTTTGCCTGGTTACAGCATTAGGACTTTTGGACAACATAGCTCAGTCTTTCTCAGAAAGTTCAAGTGTTGGGACATATTTCTTTATCTGATTTTTCATTCTTCCAACGTTCACCTCTACTCAGACCTTCTCCCTCCACTGCATCAAATCTCTACTAGCTCAGCAGCTGCCAATGTTACAGCAGAATAACTATAACATTCTTTTAGTTTGGAGAACTACTACATTTAGATGGTTGCCTCCTTTGTCAAACTGCTCCATTTGTGACCACCAAAATCCAGTCTCCTAATTCCAAGTACCGTGCCATGACTACAGCTACTTCCAGTGATTACTAATAGTTTTTCTATTGAGTTTCAGTACAGTACATATGTCATTGTACTGCTGTGGATATGTGGGAGGGGATTAAAACCAATGGCCCTCAAACCCCACAATAGCAGTTTTCCATTTTTAGTCTGATTGCCAACAGAAAAAAAGAGAAACCAGGACTTTCTTATCTGAAAGTGATTCTGTTAAGTCCTTTCTGGCAGGATCTCAGGTTGCATAAGCAAAAGTCACAAAACAACAAAAACCAAAGTGCAACATGATCTTTTATAGGTTCTCCCTGTGAATTACAAGCCAGCATGAAATATGAAGATGATCAGCTGTAATTAAGGTAGTGGGTCAAATACTAGACCTGACTTCCTACATATGGTTCTGTGTGCAGAGAGGTGTCTTGTTGGTGTTCTTCTGGTCTGCTGGAGAAATCAAAAAGTGATAAGGAGCTATAATGCCTGTATAATACAGTACACCTTCTTTGTATTTGACTGTCATTTTGAGGAAATGTGTCAGTAAAGCTGGGTGTCACCTGGTCTTGCATACCATGCTTTGCATTATTTTCAGGGTTAATGGTTTTCTTGGGGAAACAAGTCCTCATTTTCAGTTTGTGTAACAGGGGGTTTCTGGTAGCATGTTTTGTTTGCTTGTTTTTAATAATGTGCTTAAGGATAATAGATTTTTTAAGTAGATACATTTTCTAGTCAGTTATGGCTCGTGTTAAATAATGACATTTGATTGTGTTTAATGTTGCTCTTCCTGTCAGTGACAACATTTGGACAGATGAACCAAACACATGGAGATATGGGTGTATGTTGGCTGTTTGGAATAGAATAGTTTTCAGATGCATACAGTATTTTCCAAATATAGATTCCAAATATTTTTGAATAAAGGAAGAATAGTATTTCTTCTCCAAATGGCATTATGATATTTTTGTCATAATGTGTTCATCCCAAAATTACAAAGGTAAAATTGTAAACTAAAATTTTTGTGTTGCTCCTCTCCATTCTATTGATGGGAGTCTTCTCTGTTTTAAATGTGTATTTTAGTCCAGAATTTTTGCTTCTGCAAAAAATATCAGAATATGCTGATTTATTTTTTACTTCAGCATACAGTGGTTAGCTGTAACTAGACTATGAGCCCACGTTTCTCAGGAGGTTTGATGGGGAATATTTTTCCAGAAGACCATTTCTTATTCCTTCTTTTGTTCATTTTCTATTTAATCTCTTTGTTTATAGCTTGGGTGGGCTTTTTCCCCCTTTGAAGACATTTATTAACTCGAATAGAGCATAGCATCCCTTCCAAAGGAAGAAATGGGGAAAGAAGGGAGAGAGCAGGAAACAAATTCCTGCTCAACACCCTGTGATTGTTTTTTCTGCATGATCAGTTCTTTGCCCTGCTCTTCTCTCATACCCTTTTTGAACCAACTTTTCTATGCAGGGGAACTCAGGCTCTTCCTTGACAGGCCTGTGGAGTGCAGAGCAATGTATCTGAAACGTGATTGACACTTCAGTGTTACTGTGTGTGAATCACTGATACTGAAGCTTTGAAAAATTAATGTTTTGGATATATTAAACACTCCCTAACTGCCAGTGATGCTGAGTATGATGTTTGGGTATTTCACAGCTTTGAAATAGAGTCCTAGTGACTTTTTTGGGTTCATGCTACCTCCATGCTTCTACTTTGCTATCTATGTGTTCTCAGTCCTACTACAAGGAGTTTGCTTTCCAGGTGAGATGTCCCTCTGTCTACAATTTTATATGCAAATATAGTTTCTTCTGAAAATGATAGTTTATGAACAGTTTAAACAAAAAACTGATATTTGGTAAGGAGATGTTCTCACTCTCATTGAGATGAGTAGGAAGAAAACCTGTTACCTTTGGTGAAGGAAATACTCCATAAAATTGTGAAGCCTGAGCCTGGAATAGTGAAGTAATTTCACCTTGCTGTTCTGTCTCTTCCAAAAGTCTGTAAATTTATATTCTTCATGGCAGCAGAAGCCAAAATCCTTCTTAATTTTTTTGAGACAGAGAGCAGATGTGTATGTGCATAATGCAAGCTTAACACTGAGGCATAGAATCATAGAACCATTTAGGTTTGAAAACACCTAAAGACCTCCAAGATCATTGAGCACTGTCAAGTCCACCACTCAGCCCTGTCCCTATGTGCCACAGCTGCACATGTCTTAAATGTCATCCTGTCACTTGTTATTTGGGAAAAGAGGCAGATGCACACCTTGCCACAACTTCCTTTCAGGTAGTTGTACAGAAAGAGAAGGCTTCCCTCTGCTTCCTTTTCTCCAGGCTAATATAAATTACATATATATATTCATATAAGTAATATAAAATATAAATAAGCAACATAAATCCTAGGTAATGCTGATGAGATTAAAGAGTAAAAAAAAGTCACAGGTCTGACATGCAGGAAGTTCATGTACCTGAACATACAGGGCTCCAGTGGGCAGGAGACAATAATACCCAATAATGCATTTTCTTCTGAGCTTCTTTCAGAGCATCATGACCAATGAGTGCAACATAAATATAATCTGAATACTGAGTGGGAGGTGAACAAGTGAAGCTTAAATTAGGCCATGTCTTGAACTTCTTACTTGAGAAAAATTTCAGCTGAGTAACTAATTTAAATATCTGGGGGGTCTTCTTTGGGATACCAACAAAATACTCAGAGTGGATGGAAGAACAGCTAGGAGTTTATATATCATAAATCCTATGCATTACTGAAAGTAAATTATATAAATTAAAATATGCTCCATTGGGCAAGCTGAATAACTGTTATTTTTAAGCTTGTTCAGAAAACCTGATTTGTTTACCTGATTTCTTCAGGCAGGGTAGAAAAACAACCATATCAACAAAACCAATCACCACCCTCTCAACTAACCCAAAAAAAGAATCAGTCTTATTTCTGAAAAAAATTTTTTAAAAAAAAAATCCCACACAAATTGTGGGGAAGAGGTGAGAGCCAAACAAGCAAAACCTGTTGCTTAGCTTCTCTAAAAACAATTTTGAATTTAGCTGAGTTCATGAGTTAGTTGTCATGTTATTTAGAAGTGGAATAGAAAAGCCTTTATTTAATAACATTAATAACATTTCTTAGCTGAAGTTCACCAGCATATCTTCAGTCTTATTTGAAATTCTCCAAGTGCAGTGATGCAAATTCCCCAAACGTGGCAGGACCTTGCAGATAACTTTCCCAAATCTGAATGTTTCCCTGGACAGGTGACTCTTCAAATACCCCTTCATCTCTGCTTAGCAGCTGAGTTTTCTTGATTTAAATTCATCTGGTTTTAGTAATGGTGAGACTCCATGTCCAGCTCTGGGCTTCTCAGGAGAGCACAAGAGAGACACGGAGCTTCTGGAGCAGGTCCAGTGTGAGGCTCTGAGGATGAGGGTTCTGGAGCACCTCACTTATGAGGAAAGGCTGAGGGAGCTGGTCCTGTCTAGCCTGAGAGATCTCATCTATGCCTGTGACTGTCTGGTGCCAAGAGGGCAGTGTCTCTTCTCAATGCCAGGCAATAGTGCAAGGGGCAACAAGCAGAAACAGGTACACAGAAAGTTCCACCCGAACATGTGGAAGAATTTCCTTGTTGTGCAGGTGACCAAGCACTCTAACAGGTTTTCCAGAGAGGCTGTGGAGTCCTCTTTTGCTGGGACTATTCGAAATACACCTGTACGGATCAATCCTAAATTATGCGCTCAGGATAACTCTGCCGGAGCTGGGAGGTTGGGCCGGATGACATCCAGCGTTGCCCTTCCAGTGTTAGCGGATGGGTGAGCACCGGGAGGGAGGCGATGCTCCGGCAAGGGGCTGTCGGGCTCTCCGTGCGCGCTTTGCAGCTCGGAGACCTACGGGCGGCAGAGGGCAGGAGCCGGCCAGCATCCCTCGGCAGGGCCCTCACCCTGGGAGGCTCCGCCCGGCAGCGGCACCGACCTTCACCTGCAACCCGAGCCGGGCGGAGCCGGCGCTATAAAGGCCAGGGCGGGCAGCGGGCGCCGCTCTGCAGGGACCGGCCGTCGGGGCTGCAGCCATCCTGCCATCCATCCGTGCCGGGGTCTGCGGAGGTGAGCTGAAATAACCAGAGGGGAAAAAGCACAGTTAGAAATCGGACAGGGTGCTAGTTGGTTTTGTTTGGGTTTTTGGGGCTTTTTATTTATTTTTTTTTTTTTATCAGGCTGATTAGGCGTTTTCTCGTCCATGTTGTTGTAGGTTTCATCAGCTTCATGTGCGCCTTTTGCTTGGGATTTTGTTGCTGTTTTTCTTGTTTGGTTTTTTTAACCAGCGTATTTGATAGATCAAGAAGAAAAGTCTCAGCAGACTTAGAGCATTAGTCATTTACTGCCTCTAAATGCATCCTAGTACCACACGACAGAATGAGTGCATGTCTTTATCACTGCACTCCCAACCACGTTATTTAGTTCTGTTCATTTAGTTCTAATCAAACTTGAGGCAATGAGGGAAATTATCTGGTCTGTAATAGAGAATTTAGAACAACCTTTATATGAGTGATTTAGCATAAAAGACTACTAAGACAGCCTACTGACCTAAGTTGCCCAGTAATAGTTTGTATTGTTCTTAATGTCTCATTAATAGTAGTTCTTTTTTTTCATGATGTTACTTATTTTATTTTCTTTTTATTCTTTCTATTTAAGTAGAATAATGTTGAGACCAAAATTGTGATGTGTCATAGGAAAACTCAGATATGAACTCTTTCAATATTTACTTAATCAAAGTGTTTTCTTGGGGGGGTTTATTGCAGATTCTAATTAATGTGACTCTCTCATAACAAAAAGGACAATGAAGGACTATTCTGCAAATTCCACAGAACAGGACCTCTCTGATCCTGGTAAGAGGGAGCTCCGCATGTGTGTTTGAAAAATGTTCCACAGGTTTGAATCTAAAGAACGTTATAAAGGCTCTCCTGATTGTCATAGTTGTTTTGTAGGAGATAACATGATAAGTTTCCTACATATCAGTGAATTAAAGCCACACCTATAAAACATTTTTCTGCATGAATCATTCCATCAAGTTCCACAAAATTAATTTGCATTGGTAAAACTGCTCAGGAGGGTCCTAGCCTGAGCATGAAAATTCTCCTGAGGTAAGCTGTGGAAGCTGGAATAACATTATTGCTGTCAAAGGGTTGTCTAAAACAACTGTTGTAGGCCAGCTATCAGTAAAATAGTATGTAGAAAACTCTTCACTGTGAGTTTGCAGCTAAAGTTAAGGTAAATTGGGAGTGGCTGGTATGGGGAGAAGCTTTTCACCTCTTGTTTTTTCAGCTGGCTCCCCACTCTGGCTACTCCTCTGTTTCTTCATATATTTATTACATCTCATTTTATGCATTTAGCTTCCTGGGTAGGATTATGCTTTCATATACCTTTCTGAAGCCCCCAGCACAAAGGAAATGGGGCATGCAACAGCTACTGCAAGAGACTAGTGAAGATGGTTATTAGAGTCAAGGACATGATTCTTTAGTTAACTACCATCTATTCTGTGTTAGCTACAGCAATTATAACCCTCACTATAAGCAATTCCACTCATTCCATAAGGACTTCTAATTTGCATTTAATTGTTTGAAGGAAGAATGAACTTTTTCTTTTAGTCTTTGATAATCTTTCTGTATAAATATATTTTAATTATAAAAATAAAGTTGTTTCTGTCTCAGAAATGGACATGTAAGCTTTTTCTGGGAATAAAGATGAACTGAAGACAAAAAGCCTGGTGAATTTCTCTTGAGACTTCCTCCCAAGAACATGAGAAAAAACTAATCTAGAAAAAAACTAGAAAGACACAAGAAAGCATAATAATCCATCTATTGTATTACTAAAAAAGTGGTTTTATTCACAGAATCTGGAAACAAGGGGTGTGATGGTACTTCTTTACCACATGAAGAACATGTAGAACAAATTGACCAGTCAAAGCCCAAAAAGAAAACGTAGGTATTTTTTTTTTAACTTAGTGTTAACTGGGTGTATGGGAAAGTCAGAGGGGCAGGGGAGGGAGGAGAAAAGTTTAATACAGATTTGCTAAAAAATCCCTTATCTTGATTAGTCTTTTATACTTTACTCTAGGAAGGAAGATGAGAAGCCAGAGAAACGAATTGTTGGCATTCTTGAATTGGTTAGTGATTTATTTAATAGTCTGCTTTAGACTTTGTTATTTGGTATTGTGAGCTGTTTATGACTTATTATTCATAGGAAATCAAAAACTGGAGAAGAAGCCTGAAGACTATTGATTCTGGACCTGTTCTCTGAGAACCAGTAAACACCAGTTTTGTGTCAGTTTTCTATAGGACAGATATTCTCAAACAAAAATAGCTCTTGCATGTGGACTTTCTTACTCTGAAACAAGAAAATATTTATTCTTTTCTGGTTTATTCCATGTGTATTTACACTTAGAGATGGTTAGGCCCGTCAGGAATAAAATGATCCAGTTTCAGATTAACCACATCCCGGGATGTCTATAGCAGTTTGAATTCACATCCTTCTTTAAACAAAACCAAGCTCCAGGGATAGACAAGTTTCAAGACACGATCTATCTCTGTTGAAAATGCTTTCTACTGGTAGGTGTAAGTCAGGTGCTGGTCAATAACTCACTCTTGTTTACATTATAGAGGCATTATCTTAGTAAATATGCAACTCAATGAAACACACAATATATTCTACAAAGATCGTCATCACTTGCAAATACTTATTTTTTTTTTTCTGACTGGGAATCTGTGTCCTGCCAGTATTCTCTTAGCAGCCTGAGTACTGATTTAAGGATGTGTTGGACTACTACGGAATCTTTATGTACTGAGTTTACCTTCAGCTGGAGTGTTGCTACTTAGAATATGTGGCTGAAGCATGTTCTGTAAGTCCACTGTACTGCAGTAAATGCATGAACTGTCAGGTTTAATGTCCCTTTTTTCTCTTTTTTTTTTCTTTTTAATGCTTACATAGTTTTGCTATGCTGATGGGGTGGATGTCCTGTTGATGATAGTTGGTTTGGTCGCAGCGGCTGCAAATGGTACTGGAATGCCACTTATGATCATTGTCTTTGGAGAGATGACAAACAGCTTTGTGCTAAGTGGCATGCAATCCAATGGTAAAAAGTTTAAATTAAATTTCTCTGCATATTGATTGTGTTTTGCTACTGAGGCTAAGATTCTGTTTTTCCCCCAGATTATACACTGGTACATATCTGAGGTAATGTATTATGAGCAACACTCATCCTGCTGGAAATAACCCAGTCATTTCAATCCATCTTTAATGGCTAGACCAGGGCAAAACTAAAGCATTGGATGTGCACTTTATGAATGGACTTTGACTTTGTTGAGATAGTAGGGAGTATGACCACTCTCAGTTATCAGGAATTAATTGCTTAAAAATAAATGTTTTTTTGCCAAATCATTTTGCATTTAAGTTTGTATTGCAGACCCCACTTGAAAAATACAAAATATTCCCAAACTGAAAACCCCATATTGCCATGAATCAACAGCTCTATATAACACTCCCACAAATATTCCTACTTTTAATTTCCCCTTCACAGATACTTCAGTAAACACTTCCAGCTGCCTACCAAATCCAGGCGTGGATATAGAAGGTGAAATGACAAAGTAAGGATCTGTAGTTATATATGCCTTCCCAATAATGCATCACAGGCTTCAGTATTTACTTTGGTGTGATTGATTAGTTGCTTCTCTGTGTGTCTAACTTTTCTCATTAGATACAGTGGGGTCATGTGGGCTTTTTTTTTCTTTATCCCAGGTTTGCTTACTACTTTGTGGCTATTGGCTTTGCTGTGTTTATCCTGAGCATGATCCAAGTGTGGACATTTTTGGTTGCTGCTGCAAGGCAAACTGCAAGGATACGGAAGATGTTCTTTTTTGCAGTGCTCCATCAGGAGATGGCTTGGTTTGATACTACCCAGATAGGAACACTGAACACCAGACTGACAGAGTGAGGGCTCTGTTGTTTTTTTTTCTTTTACACACAGACACACACCCCCAAGTAAGGCATTTAAAAAAACCCTGATATTTATCTCAACAGAATAGCCTAAAGAGAGTTAAAAAAAAAATCCACCGCACCTAAAGTATGAAATATTACAGCTCAAGGTGAGGAATTCATTATCCTTTTTCAGCTATGTGCATTGGAAGGGGTTTCTTCATTAAATGTCTGACACCGGCTTTCTGAAGCCTGTGAAGTACATGTCAGCCACTGCTAAACAAACTGTCTCCACCTAGTTTATAAATGCCAAAAGCTGGCACTTAATGGAATGGAAATGAGCTTATACTTGCACCCAGTCAGAACTCAGGCAGTATTCTATCTAGCCAGTTAAAGTCTTTGTAATTTTTCCATAAACCTAAATAGATTTCAAAGCTCTCCACTCTAATATCTGTATGATCTGGGAAGAAAAAATAAGGAAGAAAATTTGTATGAAAAATGAAGCTTATTCCAAATAATGGTATGATGGAATGGAGGTAGCTCTTCATCTGAGTCAGTAGCGGAAATGATGAACATAAAATGCATCAGAGCTGAGCAGAAGAAATGATTTAGGGATTGGTCATGTTTGGTGAAGAGGCTGCTTGATTGTTTACTTATTGCTCCATTTGGATGCCAGATGAGGAAACTAGGTCATTGGTGTCCTAGTGTCATGGCATAGAAACAGCAGAGAACGTTGAGAATACAGAAAATGAGCCCTTAAAAATAGGTTTCTGCTGTGTTTAGGCCACAGAAGAACCTAATGGTACAGTTCAGTAGCCATGGTTAAAAATTTTCTTTTGCTGGTTAGGAAATGACAAAGCTCCTGACATGAGGCCACACAGCATGTAAAGAAGTGGGGGAGGGAGTCACAGTGTGAGGCATTCTGAACTAACAAATTTTTTTATTATTGTTATTTAAAGTGACATCAACACCATCCGTGAAGGCATCGGAGACAAGATCAGTATATTTCTGCAGTTTTTTTCCACGTTTGTGTCAGGGCTTATTATAGGATTCATCTATGGCTGGAAGCTGGCACTGGTGGTTACGTCAGTCAGCCCACTTCTTGCTGCATCAACAGCAATTTGGTCAACTGTAAGTGTGTGGGGATTTATAGATAAACCAGACAAAGCTTACAACACTTATGCACAGAAGAGGTGGGAGAATGGGAGAAACCTAGTGTGATTTCGAAGTTAGCAGGTTGGCCCCACTCTTACTTTGAGTTCTGTTCCTCCTGTAGCCTTTCTCTGGGTTCCCAAGCACACTTTTAAGGTGTGTTCCTTCTCTCTGCATAGCCTGTCCTCATGCCATGTTGCAGGAGGATAATCTGCATCTGAGCATCTTTCTGGTACAGCAGTTTCCTCATGGCAAGCACCAGGGAAATCCTCGCTTGATTTATGCTCCTAGCATAAATACCTTTCAGCCTCTTTCCATCTGCACATGAATGTACCACAACTCTTGCAAATAATTTACCAAGTTTCATGCAGTGTATGGACTAGATCTATACAGCTATGCAGATACATACAGCTGCTGAAAACTGAAGTGCTATAAATCAGTGAAATGGCTGGAGAGGTTTCCCTTTCAGATAGGAAAACTTTGTCCCCCTATGCACTGTTTAGCCACATTAATGTTGATGGCTCATACTGTTGAGTAGCTATTTATATGATTTTATGGGGTTTTTCCTACATGAAGCATTACAAAAAAGCTAAGAAATAGAATGTTAGAGGTTGTAATGTGATTGACTTGCTTACTTCAATGTCTGCTGGTTCTCTAGTGTGTGAACACCTCAGAAACTCAGAGCAGCTAGGGTACTTCCTCTTTCACTCTTCCTAGTGTAGTCTGTAGGCTGTCCTCAGCTTGGGAGGAAAGTGGATTAGTGTCTTGGTTTAGGGTAAATTTTGGAGAGAACCTCCAAATGGAGTCCCCTCAGAAAGCAAATCTAAGCGGCCCCTACCCCCAACTGGTTCAGGAAAGGAGATTTCTTTGGAGAGAAGTGGGAAAAAAACCTGTTTATTTAACAGAAATTGAATAATATTAAACAATAAAACATCTTGCTGTTCAATGAAATGGCAAATCAAGGAAGAAAAGTCCTTTTCATGTGGTGTATCTTGGCTTGCTCAGGGTCTTATCAGTCCCTCCCGTGCCGGAAAGTGCTGAGGCCCAGGCCCTGGTGGGCCACAGGCGTGGGCTTCCGGGCTTTGTTTGGGATTTTTCAGCCCAGAGCAGGTTTGAACAGATCTAAGGAGAAAAAAAGGTCCAGGGAACTCTTCTGCCTCAGCTAGCTAAAACTAACTAACAGTAAAAGAGAAGCTTTGTCCTGCTGTCCATCTGTGCTGCAGACACCACAGTCCAGGAGCAGGATGTTTTCTTTCAACACAAACTGTGAGCTGCTTCTTCCCCCCCTTCTCTCTCAGAGCCAGTCTGAAAGGTGCAGAACTTAATATGTAACATAAACCAGGCAACTGGGGATACAAACATCATAAAGTCACCCCAGGACAATTGGGAATGAAGCTCACCTGATATTTGTGTAGCCTTTGCTTGTAATGATGAAACAATGATAAATTGAACTCTGAGGGAAATTCAGGGTATGGGGAGGAGCTGATCCCCCATAGATTGCTAATATCTGATCTCATGCACCTTGTGTGATTGTTCTTATTCACCAAGACAGTGTGCATGTTATTTCAGAAGGTTGCAATAACAGCTGTTTTTAAACTTTTCAGCTCCTGGCATCTCTTACTGCTAAAGAGCTGTCTGCTTATGCCAAAGCAGGAGCTGTGGCCGAAGAAATTTTGACATCAATCAGGACTGTTGTGGCTTTCAATGGACAGCAGAAGGCATTAGAAAAGTAAGTTTTTTAATTAATAATTATATTTAAAATATGGAAGGAAATTTAGTTGTGGAATTGGTTTGTGGGGATATTTTCATTTTTTTTTTGAAGGGGCAGAGGGGTGACACTCCTTAGTGTCATTTTGTCTTTCTATAAGTGGACAAATCACCTGAAAACAAAGATGTGCAAATAGATCTAGTCAGTGAATAAAGGCTATTTGCTGTTGTCACTGCAGCATAGATGAAAATTTTTCCTTTGGTTGAAATCTGGAGTTGAACTGAATGTGAAAGTGGTGGGAAGGTTACCTTTACCTAGGAGTCAGATGCAACAAAGCATGCAATCTGCTTATCTTCTAGGGCATTTGTGCTACTGCTCTGATCTTTGATTACTGAACTTATTTTTAAACTATGCTGGATAATAGCCTCGGGTAAAATCACATTAGTGGCTTTTACAATGATTTGCAAATAACATGTGTAGCTGCCCAGTGCTGGCCCTAGTCACACATACAAGGTGAAATGATTGTGGCTGATCACAAACTTATTGACATGCATATCAGATAACTCAACAAGCATAAGCAATAATTCTTTTCATACAAATACAAGGCATCACTGATTCCATGCAGCTGGGAAAGGCAAGGCAGATGACCTGATCCATATGCCTCATGAAACTCTTCTACCTTTTTCAACTCATGTTAGCCTTCATCTTGTGCAAAATTTACAAGGTGGTGTCAACCCAGCTTAGGATCCTACAGCCTGTTCCTGCATTTTCTTCCAGGGACTGAGCTCTGACTCTTACAGCCCTGTCTTCTGCTTACTGGAATTTCTTTTTAAGATGCAACAGCATTAAGACTGTTCCTGCCTGCACAGTAAAAGCAAAAAAAGCCCTAGATGACCTAGATAAGTTGTCCCGCTCCTTCTCATATTCTTCAATTACCAGTGTCTGAAAGTTAAATTACAGGAGCTGTCAATATTCATTCACAATACTTTGTCTAAAGACAAAATAACTGATACCTGAGTCAAGAAAGACTTTTCCTTTTTATGATTGACTAGTCAGCCTCTTCCACAGCTCTACCTCCATTTAATCTAAAAACCCCAAACATCTAAAAACCCCTAGGATCATCTTCTGCTACGGACAAACTCCTACCAGGGAGTGTATTTTTCAGATAGTAGATTGTGACTCCTACACAGCTCTTGAATGTTGACCTCAGAGTTAGGAAAAGCACCCTTTCACTGCACAGTGCCTCCACTGACCAGAAAAGTTTACTCTTGCAAGGGATCTTCAGTCACCTTTAGTTTCTGGCAGTGGCTTGGCCTTTCCTCAGTATTTGAGTGATCATGTGTATTTATCACACTATTTAAATGCTGTACCCATTTCCCTGGAAGACTGATGATGCTGCTGACTCAAACATAGGGCCTGGTTTTAAGAGCCCAATCAGGTCAAAATATTTCAATATGTTTGACTAACAAAAACAGTGTTGCTGGCATCTTAGAAATTTACATGAACAAAATTAATGCGGTTTAAGGTTGCTTCCCAGCTGAATGGATTGCATGTCTTCCTACAATGGAGTTGTACTTTATTGAAAATACATTTTGTGAAAAGGGTGCAAGCTACTGACCATGCTGATTGCAAGTAGAAAGTTACACTATTCCTAGACTACACTTTGCATAATGAGCTTGAGTAAATGAAAGCTATTTGCTGAAAACTATAGATGACTGCATGAATTTGAACCATTCTTGGAAGAAATAATTTTCTAGTTGAACTTGTTATATACCTGTTTATACTGATCTTCTGTGTTCACTGCTCATATATGTAAAATATGTATATATTATATGTATTACATATAGTGCATATATATATTATGTATATATCAGTAAAGTGACCTAAGGGAAAGATATTTGACATCCCAAAATGGCTAATAAGAGAACAACTTTGCCATCAGAGGGAGCTCTCATTTATCTCTTTCCCTATTGCCTAGGATTGTTGGAGGATTTTATTTTTATTTTGCTTCTTTTAAGTGTGGAAGACTAGCCTTTATCTCTGTGGTAAACAAGGTTACTAAAACTTTTGCTAGGTTTCCTTAAAAGATTAATGGAAAAAGAGTTCAAGAGTGCTAGTGTCTTCCATTATGATAACAAAATTTTGATACTTGTTTTCTGATTGTCTTCCGTAACGGTATGCCAATATTGTCGGCATACGTTAGAGCAGATTTATTCAAATTAATTACCTCCCTAATAGTCCTCCTATAAAAAAAAAAGAAAGAAAAAAGCCTGTATTTTCTTGGAGATTCTAATTGATTTTCTTACATAAATCCTTTTAATTAAGAAAAGGGCACTGGGAAATATCAACCAGGATGGCATGTGGTACCTGTCAAATTAATGGTTTCCTTACCCGCTTTCAGATACGATGCGAACTTAGAGACGGCTAAACGTGTTGGAATGAAAAAATCCATTACCACTAACACATGTCTGGGTCTTTCACAATTTTTTATCTTTGGATCCTATGCCCTTGCATTTTGGTATGGAACCAAACTCACTGCTGAGGATCCACATTATGACATCAGCTGTGTGTTAATTGTAAGTACAGCAATGCAGCCTTGAAAAATATTCTGTATCTTCAGGGAAAGTTATGCAAGTGGTGTCTCTGTTTTCTGCCACCTGCTTGCTAAATTAGCTGTTAGAGACTCACTTAGTATAAAATAACTGGAAGTTATTCATCTTTCCTAGCTTTTAATATAATAAGTTTGATTGTCTTGGACTCTATTTCTAAAGTGGGATGAATAGCCTAGAGCTGGCACTTAAGTCTTTCTAGCACCCATGTGGGCACTGTAATCATTAACTGAAATACTCCTCTCCATCTGCCACAGGTGTTCTTCTCTGTGCTTATTGGAGCTTTCTCCCTGGGCCAGGCAGCTCCTAACCTGGAGACTGTGGCCAGTGCACGTGGGGCTGCCTATGAAGTATATAAGATTATCAATAAGGTAAACACCTAACTGCATAGAATAGAAGCTTTTCAACCAACTTAGCTTCCCTTCTCTCTCATTTTTATTGTTTTTTCCCCTTGAGAAATGTAACAAAAGCGCTCTAAAGCCCCAAATCATCAACTCTATAGATGTTTACTACAGAAACCCATCATATTTTCATTGATCTAAGAGTGTACTGGGGAGGGGGAATTGGTCTGGAGGGGATTAATATCACTATTGAAAGTTATTACAATAATAATCTGTAATGCTGATGTTGCCATAAAAAAGGTTTTCCATATCATAATCTTGGTCTTGCTGTGCTATGCAGCAACAGCGTAACTGTGTATATAAAATAAAGTAGGACTAAAAACTTCTTGGAGAAAAGGCTACATCATTCTTTGTGATGTGAGTATTAAACCCTCTTGATTACTGGGGCCCATGTTTTGGCTGCAAGAGAATGCAGCTAATTCTGCAATTAGAGATTTTTTGCTACAGATTTTGTTGCTTTTGAAAGGGTACTGTATTTGTCAAAGTAGAATCCACAATTTGATGTTTCCCCCATATTCAGCATTCTGCTGGTAAAGTGCAGCAGTTCTGCAGCAATGTACTGCAGTGTCAACCAGCATCTGAGAAAGTAAGGAACAATGCATGTAGCAGAAATAACAGTTCCAAAAGTGAAATAACCACCAATTTATTTCACAAACTTCTTTCCAGAAACGGCTCATAGATAGCAGTTCTAAGGAAGGCTACAAGCCAGACAAACTTGTAGGAGAAATTGAATTCCGAAACATCCATTTCAGTTACCCTTCCAGACCGGATGTTAAAGTAAGTGTTCTGTTTCCATTATTGTACTGAAATTCCTCAGTTTGTCCATATTGTTTGTTTAGTTTTGTTCCTGTTTTGGGGGATGTGCCATAATTTCCCCCCCAGTGATGCACAAAGACAAAGCTCTAGATCTACTGTCACTGTGAATCTCATGCTCTTCAGCAGGACAAATCTGTGCTGCCCCTAGTCTGTCTCTATGGACAAGAGCTTTGATAAATCAAATAAAACTTTTCAAAATCTTTCATTAACGCTTCCAGACTTGAAGCAGTTAAACCAGAAAGTTCACTTTTTTCCAGTTTCTTGACTCTTTGGAGTTATGATATCCCATGAGAAAAATTATCAGAGATAGACTTTACAACAATATGCTATCAAACATATTGAAACATCATCCTAAATGTACATTTGGAAGTCAAACATTGTTTTGGGCGTATGTAAAAATTGCTGTTCAAGAGCCTGTTGTCCTTGTTCTTTGCTAGTTAAGTTTCCATTAGTGACCTGTGTGTACATCATGTTGTGATTACTTTTATGGTGACACAGTTGGTTTGACCTCTCTGTGACATTTGTTTATAATATTTTGAACACCTTGATGAAGGTGAAAGGAAAAGGAATTTGCTGCTGTTGATTCTTCCTTGATGGAGAAAAAGGACACAGACACAGAGTGTGTGCCCTTGCTTCTGATACTTAGCTCTAAGATCCAGAAAAACACTGAATTTCATATAACATGAAATGCATGCGCATGTTTTCACGGTGATACATGAAAACAACTGTTAGAGTTAGATAGAAAAGCTAAAAGTGTGAGAGTATAGATTAGAGAGTTTTCTTAAGTCACTGGGTGAAAAAGCTAGTTTAGAGTTTAAGTTAGTTTAAAAAGCAAAAGGCAAGATGGAGGATTTAGAATGTTGTTTCTTTTCCTTCTCCTATCTTTTTCATGTTCTTCTAGAGGTTTTTGGGTAATAGTAAGTGATTGGTTAGAAAATGCCTCAGCGCAGCACACAGGTGATGGATCATTAAGAAAAATGTGTCTATTGTTAATTGGATAAGAATGAGTATAAAGATAAAAGCAGTGCATAGTTCAGGGCCACTTTGTGCTTTCAAAGCCAAAGTGAGCCACACAGTGAGCCACAAGGCCATTCTGTGTCATCAGAAGAAAATAAGTCAGATTGCAGTGAACTGAACTTGTGCAGTTACTCTGGACAGACCTGCCAAGTTTTGTAATGACCCTCTAATAAACACAAGAAACAAGACTCTAACGAGCTCGGGAGTTTTCTTCAAACCAGAGAACAGAGATAAGCAGGGCTCCCCATGAGGGAGGATCCCAAAGGAGCTCAGCTCAGAGGAGACTAAGAAATCCAGGAGGAGAAAGAGAGAAAAATACAGAAGTGCAGCAGAATCAGAGAAAGAGAAAAAACAAACAAAAAAGAATTTTATAGATAAAAGTTACAGAAATAGAGATTTCAAATGTCAACAATTAAAAGCTTGACATGCTGATTTAGTGGTGAGAATGGGAAGGTTTGTACAGCTGTTTCTTTCAGGTGGCTTTTCCCAACAAAGTCATCTGAGGTCTGTCCCATTGTGCATCAAATCTGTTTCCAGGACATTGGGATGGCTGGAGCACCGACTCAGAGCTGGGCTTTCTCCTTAACTGAATTTTATATGATGCATCTTCTATCCCTCTTGGCTCAGAAATCTGGAAAGAGCAGAGTCTTCACCTTTCTTCCTAAAAATCCTATTCAGGCTGCTGAGCTATGTTGTGAGCACACCAAATGGGAGGGAAATAAGAAATATTTCTCATCCTTCCCAAATCTCAGTCAGCAGCTCTCCCTACTAAGAGCATCAATGTTATTTAGTAGAGCCAAAAAGAATCAGTGAAGCTGCGTAGAAGTTACCCCCAATCTTGCAAACATTTGATACAACACAGTATAATCTTCCCTGTCCAGGTTAAACCAAATCAAAGACATCTAAGGAGTACAGTTGTTACTATTAGTTTTAATCTTGGCAATACGTTGCCTGATGAAAGAGGGTTAGGACTAGCCTAGTAGGTGGTAGTGATTGTTTGCATCTGGCAATATTATGGTATCTAGAATAAGGTTCTTGATAATGCAGGCACCAAGATATCAGCTTCCTGGAGATATAAAATTGGATCGACGTATACAGGGAGAGGAGAGGAATATTGCAACTATTTTAATCTCTCATTGTAAAAACCTGTGTAGGCAAACTTGTATATCTGCCTGGTATAAACAAGAGTTCCCATAGCAGCCAAATATTTTGGTAGCTACACAGCATTACTCATAATAACATGGACATCTTTTGAGGTAAAATGTTCTCTAAATGTGAAAATAGCAAAAATTATATCATTAATCTGTAACTGCTCCCCAGGTTTCTGAGACTGTTAACAATAAGGAATGGGATTTATTAAGGGCCTCCCAGAAATTATTTCATCAAAACAGCCTTTTTTATTTTAAGAATAGAAGAAAACAAGCTTTGTTTACAGTGATACTTTTTAGCACCTGAAAATAATTTTCTGTGAGATTCATAATTATGCTCTGGAAAATGGAGGACAGCAGGAGAACTTAAGACCCTAAACCTGCTTCCAGATCACACAAACTAGAGAAACTGAGTCATGAAATTCAGAGTAGTGTGGCCGTGTCTATATTAGTGTGAGTGTGCTAGGGAATTTTCCCAGACAATGGAATGCAACGGTCCATGCAAGGAAACTCTTAAAATATTTCTTGGTATGAGCTTGGCCTGTTCCAGTTATCAATCTTCTCAAAAAATTCCCAGGCTTGCTTTGGTAACCAGAAGGATCTAGGGGCCATTGCCAAAAGGCAGGTTGCATGCAACCATCCTGCTTTGAAGGCTAATACTTTTCACAAGCATAGGTGAAGAATTTTTCCTATCAGTGCTCCAGGATATTCCCAGGTACAATTAACTTATTAATGTTGCTGTTCCTTCAGACTGTGGCCTTCACTTCTGCCTTGATAGCAACAGCTACAGTTACCTTGACAGACTATTCTCCAATCAAACTTGTTAAACTAAGACATAATTTTTTTTATTATTATTTCCAGATCCTCAAAGGTCTAAATTTGAAAGTTCAAACTGGGAAGACCATTGCTTTAGTTGGTGCCAGCGGCTGTGGAAAAAGCACTACTGTTCAGCTGCTGCAAAGATTCTATGATCCTGACCAGGGAGAAGTGAGTGTCTGCAAAAACATTGTAAAAACTTAGAGCTGTTAGGACATGCATGAATTTCCCATATTGATTGAACCTTGTTTTCTATTTTGACTGAATTTGACCATATTATCTGCATAGTTAATATTTCTACAATTTTAATTTCAAATTAACTATCTTCTCTTGTTGGCTTGACTTCATTATTCTGATCCTTCTTACAGTACTATGTCATAAACAGCAAATGCCACAAGTCTTGGAATAGACTTGCAAGATCTGAATCTAAAGTAATTGTTATCAACTGTTCATTTTTAAAATTCCCTTAACTTTTTTAAGTGAAATATAATGGAACAGGGTCCTGCTGTATTTTGCTCCCTTTTCATTGAATGCAAACTAAAACCTGGAGACAGTTTTCTGCTCCCTTTTCATTGAATGCAAACTAAAACCTGGAGACAGTTTTCTTATTTTAAATGGTTGTTTTCTTGGCTTGTTTTTCACTATCTGCTAACCCACAGCAGAAGTTTCCATCATTACACATTGTGTGTGTTTTACCACACACAATTTACCACGGTTGGTAAATGGTAAATACTTCCCACAAGATAGTTTTCCTGTGGCTGTTCATTTCTGCCCCCACACCTCATTTTGCTGTGTCAATGTCAATGTTCATATCACCACGCTGCAAATGACCTGGGTTAAAAATAACTTTCCCTTTCCTTTTAGTCAGCTTGAAGTCTCTTTGATCTGGTGTAAACAGCCACTGAGATGATTGTGTAGCTCCAACCGTGAGGAAATCAAACTGGCACAGCAGCTTAAGAATCATGTAAAAAGTATGCAAGGAAGCTGTAAAATTCTTAAGCCAACTTAGGATGGTTATTATGGGAAAACAGACTTGGGGGGGAAAAAGGCACCCCTTTTTTCTTTATGCCTTTCATCATAATTTTCAAGCTTGTGCAATGGATGGAAAAACTGCAGTTGTAGATTCTCCCACAAAAAGGTTTTCTATTAATGACAATATTTTTTTTTCTCTTGACCTTCTGGCTGATACTTCATTCAAGTAAGAGTAATTCATTTCTTTCCTTGACTTCTTTTTCATGCTTTTTTTCTCAGATTACCTTAGATGGTCGGGATATTCGGACCCTTAATACAAAGTGGCTACGAGAAAATATTGGCATTGTGAGCCAAGAGCCTGTTTTGTTTGCAGCCACAATAGCTGAGAACATTCGCTATGGCAGAGAAGATATTTCTGATTCTGAAATTGAGCAAGCAGCCAAGGAAGCCAATGCTTTTGACTTTATATCTAGACTGCCGGAGGTAAGTTCATTAACTTACTTCGAGTGTAAGAACAAAAGGTCCATTTAGGCTGGTGTCCTGTTTCTGAGAGGCAGAGCACGGGAATCCAAGTTATTCTACAACTTCTCAAAATATACTTATTGCCTCCAGCAGCTTTCAGTTTAGAAAGTTTTTCAAATAGATATTGTGCCTCTCGCTCTTCAAAGAACTTGTGCTGGAGTCTGGGAAAAATGACAGTGCCTTTACTCAGGAGAAAGGACGCTCCCCAGCTGTATTGCCATCCCTACCCATCTTATGAGGCACAGGAGAGCTGGCTTTTAAAAAGAAGAACCAGAAATCCAAAGCTCTTTGACAGGAACTGTCTGTACATTCACAGGAAATGGGGGGAGTGGGTGGAAATAAGTGAACCAAGACCCTTTTAGTAGCTACAAGCTTAAGTTCTCTCTCTGAGATTCAGAGATTTGAGCCCTCTCTTAGCAGTAGGTGCCTTATTCCTTTCAGGATGGAGCTGAGAAACAAGGTCAAGCATTCTAAACACATCCTCATAAACGGATACTATGTCCTTCCCTTTGCTCCTGAAGTTAAAAAATGTGGGAAAAGTGTCCACCTGGGATTTGATTTCAAATCTTATTATTTTGGAGAACTTCACCCCTGTGCCATTTCAAGCATGTCAATCTGTTCCAAGGTTTCTTCTTCTCAGGAGGAGTGATTTGATCATATTTAAACTTAAACAGCTATATAATAAAAAAACTACAGTGGACTTTGAGACTTGTCACTTTGCAGTAAGTGATACAGTCAGTAGGAACCAAACCATGGCTCCAAGAGGGGGTGTCTCAGATTCAGAGCAGGCACATTCTTGGTGTGTCCTTATAATTCCAACCCTTTTGGAAAGGTAGAGAATCTTCAGAAAATATGGAGATCCCTTTTACAGGCTTGTCTTGAAAAACCCCAGGGTTTGGAGCACTGGATGAGCAAGAAAGATCTTTAAAAAACCATAAATTCAAAGTTAGGCAGACTCAACATGTAGGGGCAGTTAACATGTAGGGGTTTGGTTAAGGGCCAGTAGGATGGATATCCTCCCATGTTTGCTCTGCCTGTGCTCAAGTAAGCTGGAAGAAGCCCCATCTTCTACAAGATGAGTACTTGAGGTTGCACTGAGAAGTGAGGGTTTGAGATATCTGACAACTTCTGTTCTGTTCTCTCATTTATCAGAAATTTAACACCATGGTGGGTGAAAGAGGGGCTCAGCTGAGTGGAGGACAGAAGCAACGAATAGCTATTGCCCGTGCCCTAGCAAGAAATCCCAAGATTCTTCTTCTGGATGAAGCTACATCTGCATTAGATACTCAGAGTGAATCCATAGTGCAAGCAGCTATCAAAAATTTAATTGAAAATTTGGTTTGTTTTTTTAGGGGTTTTGGTTTTGCATTATTACTAATTACAAAGACAGTCATGTGGAACAGCAACTTAGGTCTCCTGCACTCCCTTTCTCAAATCATAATTTTTCATTTGCTGGTCAAATATTGATGACATCTTATCAAGGCAAGGTATGAGGACAGAATGGCCTTTTTTAGGTGGATTAATAGAAAAGTGTATGTTACTGATATCCCTAGTATTTTCTCTTTATTGAAGAGTTGCTTCATAAGTTTCAGAACGCTATTGGGATTTAGTCTTTTCCTGCTTTTAGCAGCCCCACAGCATTAGCGTAGGTACTGCTGCAGAGGAGAGCTGTCAGATCGTGAACCCATGCCTCTGATCAGCACACAATACCTTCCTCACAGCCCACCTTCATCAGCAGCTTCCATCAACATACAGCAGAACCCATAGGCTTTGACTGAAAAAATCTTCTTGGTTTGGCTTGAATGTTTTTTTCTTTTGTCTAATATTTATTTTAATGTATTTTTTTAAATGAAGTGAAAAACCCTGCTTTTCTTTCCAGTAATTATAAAGAAAGATATGAATTACCAGTATTGCTCAAGGGAAATGCAGAATGTGTCATCTTCACTCGCTAGTCAGTTTAAAACTGAGGTAAAATGCAGCTGTTATATTCATGCCATTCCAGTGACATTAGCATTGAGGTAACATATAGATGAAAAAATAATATTCATTTGCAGGGACAATATAGAAAGAAAATATCTGCTCTTTATATATTTGCTAACCTAGCTGTGTTTTCAGAAAGATCTTAACTTTCTCGTGGCATTTTCCCATCATGCTTACATGCACATGAAAACACTTTGTGAGCAACTTTGGCTCAAACAGTTCAAGTGTTATAAAAAGTCAAATAATAAATAAACTTTAATTATGGTCTTTAATAGTTGTTGCCTGTCTAAAAACATTAATGTGGCTTTCTCTACCTAAATCAGTCAAGCAAAACTGTCCTTGGACTGCTAAACAAGGGCATGAAACTGGGAAAAAATAGTAATCTTTGCTTTTAAAAGAAAGAAAAGTATTTTTAAAGTTTTGATTTACTGTATATTACAGGTGACTAAAGTAACTTTACCTCTGTGCTATTTTCTTGCACATTTTAACTGTGACTGGGTTTTGTGTGTTTCTGTAAGGCTCGAGCTGGACGTACCACCATAGTGATTGCACACAGACTGTCTACCATCAGGACTGCTGACACTATTGCTGGATTTGAGAAAGGAATCGTGGTTGAACAAGGGACACACAGTGAACTGATGCTGCAGAAAGGAGTCTACTATTCCCTTGTAATGCAGCAGGTAAATTTATTTACTTTCTTCATTTCACAGAGTGGTTAAATGGTGGGTGGAGCCATTTTCTCTCTCTAGCTCCTGCATGTTGTCCAGCTGGCAGCTGCTCAGTTATTCTAGTCTGGGCACAGACACAGGCCTGGAATTCCTGGGGGTTTTACCCATAAGTGTTTCATATTTGTGCAATCCAATATGTCAAAACCATAAGTGAGTTTAAGGCACAGACTGTATAATTAAGGCATAACCACAGAGGTGTTAGATTCCAGGTGGATTCCATTGACTGCTTTAAAGGAAAAGAGGGCGGAAAAATGAGAATCAAATAGTCTGCTGCTCTGCAATTGCAGACTGAAATATATGTGGCCTATAGACAACTGCAGTTATACTATTGAAACAGCAGTATTCATGAGGGGAAAAAAAAACCTCTTTCTACTCAAAATGCCTTGTAACTTTATCCTGAGCTAGGGTTGTAGCAGTGATATTCAAGATGATGGCACCTCAGAAGATAGTGAAGGCACAGGAGCTGAGGAATATGAGGAAAACACAAATCCTGTGGAAGAACTGATTCTTCAAGATGATTTTGAAACATCTGTGATACCAGGGAGAGGCAGCATTCAAAGAAGATCCAGCAGATATAAGAGGAAGAGGCGTTCATCTAAAAATCCCTTTGGAAAAAAGAAGGAAAAAGAAGAGGTGGAGGTTGGTATTAGAACTTCAGCTTAAAATTTTAATTATAAGATGTAAGCATGAAAAAAAAGCACATAACTTGGATGACTTTTAGAGAGCTGGCTTTCATGCAACCTTTTCTCTGGTGCTATTGCAGTTGTTACTCACTAGACTGAGTATCTGAGCATAATTTGTCTCAAGAAAGATCTTAATTTTAACACTACTGAGTTCATGGGGAAATGCTATTGATTTGTCACATTGTATTGTACAATTTAAGAGTATTATTTCAGTGGTACAGATATTTTAATTCTATCTAATTAAAACTAGTTATGGGATTTCATTTGCAAGATTCTTTACTCCCTGGTACTTACTGTTGCAAATACTGCTGGGTAATATAAACCCAAAATTGGAGGCACTTTGGAGTATCATACTACATTTAGGTAAATTTAAAAAAATTTTGAATAATAGTTCCATTAAAAGAGCGGTTACTCTCTGTGTTTTAGTATATGCTGCAGTTTTACAGATAAAACAACTTAGTTGGTATATGTCACATAGGAAGTTTGGGGCTAAGAAAAACTTTGTTTCATCAAAGTTGAATAAAACTTACTCATAGCATCAAAAAGCAGATTTCTAGTGCATTCTGGATCAGACTTGGCATGCACCGCTCAACAGAAATTTGATTTTGTTTTCTATTTTGTAGTACTTTTTTTCATTAAATATATTATAAGAATGGTTTGGTATATTAAGATTACATGAGTTTTTTTAGTTTTGGGGGATTTTTCCTGATTTCAAGACCTTTGAAGTGAAGAACTAAAATATAAATTCCAAAATAAAATTATTAATTCTTCCAAATTTGTGGAAGTTACAATCTAATATGAAATAAATAATTTAAATAGTTAGGAAATACTTAGTATAGTTTAATCTATAGATTTTCCTCCTCCCTAAAATACATCTTCCAGGTAAAGAATATTTCAAATAGTGAGAACAAGCTGGACCCATTCCCACCATCATATAAAAAGTCATGTAACTTCAAAAGATCATTTTGGCTTTATATTAATACTGCTTAAGACCTTAGAGGTGGGTGTTCATGCTCAAGAATACAATGTTTATCACATTCAGAAAGCAAAGTCAAACATCCAGCAGTTGTAATTATTTCAGAAAAATCAGCCCAGTTTTATAATTGAGGCTTAGCCACCCTCATTCAGCATCTAAAACACAGGATAAAATAACCAGGAAGCAAGAGCAACTTGCTTATAATCCTGATTAATATTTTGTCTCATTTCTGATGTTTTCATAACTTGCTTTTCTGAAAATATCAAACTATCAAAATATCAAAGCACAAAGAGGCTAACTGACTCTAACATATGACTGGCACTTAGCTGAACTGGAGGGATCTCTTCTGTCCTCTGAACTGTGAGACTTTTCAGTTCTTTATGATTGAAATGTTAGCTGCCATTCATGGTGGCAAATCCTATCTGACTTTCAGTGGGCTGTCCTGGCCCTTCTCCCCTCATGGCTTAGCCTTTTTTTAGTTTTTTCCCTCCTTGCCTCCAAATTTTTACAGTGCAGTTGATGTTCTAGGACATGCAACAGCAAAGCAGCAAATCTCCAGCATGTTAGTTTGATCTGAGTGCAGAGAGGGTTTTCAGCACTTTACCAAGACAGCTCACTGCTCAAGGCCTGATGAACACCCACTGTCTGGGGAATTTTATGCTCTGAAACTTTCCAAGGAAAACTTACAGCTTTTTCTTGCAGGAAGAAAATCTTCCTGCTGTGCCTTACTTAAAAATCCTGGCTCTGAACAAATCTGAGTGGTTCTATGTACTGCTGGGAATGATTGCTGCTGCTGTCATAGGTGCAGTCAACCCAACATTTGCTGTTATATTTGGAAAAATTATTGGGGTAAGCTTTTTAGGGGTTTTATTAATTTTTTTCTTTTTTTTTTTTCAGGGGGTTGTTTTCAGGTTTGTTTGTGGGTTTTGTTTCTTTGGGGGTTTTGGTGGGGTGGGAAGGTTTTTGGTTTTGTTTTGTTTTGTTCTGTTTGTGTTTTTTATTTTTTGCAACCGGAAGTTGCAGCCCTGAGCTTCCCTCATGTTCAACCACTGTTTTTTCCATGTAAGTCTCTGAGAGGAATTAACTTGTATAAATACATCCACTGAGAAATGTTGAAGGGAATCTAGAAGCAGAGGATAGTGAAACTGCATCTGACTAGCAGAGGAAAGGAGGTACATTGATGGATCTGGGAGAACAAATTAGTGTGATGTAGGTTAAATAGAAAGCTGGACTATCTACTGGGTCTGTAACAGAAGGTTGACTGCAGACTGACTTTAGGATCCAGGTTACTTGCTAAAAGAAATTAAAGTAGACAAGCTTCTTGAGGTGAAAAATGTAATGTGTGCTTGTCTACCTACTCATTTTTTCAGACTTTTTTTTCCTTTCACAGGCTTTTCAAGAAAGAGATCCAGAAAAAAGGAGTAAAAACACTGTGGTGCTTTCTTTAATCTTTCTTTTACTTGGCGTGATTATCTTCGCAGCATACATAATCCAAGTAAGTGTCACTACACTGAAATTTTAAAAGCTCTGAACTCTCCAGCAGGCTGAAGGTATAACTCATATCTATCAACACAATCTAAGAAGTTAAACACCAAGCAGAGCTTACAAAAATATGCACAAGTGCCAGGGTCTTCCTGAGATGTGTAGGTTTAATGTTTATATTTACCTTAACAAACATATGTCTATGTTTGCTCTTGGTTTAAATAATCCACTGAAATGTTAATTCAGTGTGATTGAAATCAAAGTTGAATAAAACTTACTCATAGCATCAAAAAGCAGATTTCTAGTGCATTCTGGATCAGACTTGGCATGCACCGCTCAACAGAAATTTGATTTTGTTTTCTATTTTGTAGTACTTTTTTTCATTAAATATATTATAAGAATGGTTTGGTATATTAAGATTACATGAGTTTTTTTAGTTTTGGGGGATTTTTCCTGATTTCAAGACCTTTGAAGTGAAGAACTAAAATATAAATTCCAAAATAAAATTATTAATTCTTCCAAATTTGTGGAAGTTACAATCTAATATGAAATAAATAATTTAAATAGTTAGGAAATACTTAGTATAGTTTAATCTATAGATTTTCCTCCTCCCTAAAATACATCTTCCAGGTAAAGAATATTTCAAATAGTGAAAACAAGCTGGACCCATTCCCACCATCATATAAAAAGTCATGTAACTTCAAAAGATCATTTTGGCTTTATATTAATACTGCTTAAGACCTTAGAGGTGGGTGTTCATGCTCAAGAATACAATGTTTATCACATTCAGAAAGCAAAGTCAAACATCCAGCAGTTGTAATTATTTCAGAAAAATCAGCCCAGTTTTATAATTGAGGCTTAGCCACCCTCATTCAGCATCTAAAACACAGGATAAAATAACCAGGAAGCAAGAGCAACTTGCTTATAATCCTGATTAATATTTTGTCTCATTTCTGATGTTTTCATAACTTGCTTTTCTGAAAATATCAAACTATCAAAATATCAAAGCACAAAGAGGCTAACTGACTCTAACATATGACTGGCACTTAGCTGAACTGGAGGGATCTCTTCTGTCCTCTGAACTGTGAGACTTTTCAGTTCTTTATGATTGAAATGTTAGCTGCCATTCATGGTGGCCAATCCTATCTGACTTTCAGTGGGCTGTCCTGGCCCTTCTCCCCTCATGGCTTAGCCTTTTTTTAGGTTTTTTCCCTCCTTGCCTCCAAATTTTTACAGTGCAGTTGATGTTCTAGGACATGCAACAGCAAAGCAGCAAATCTCCAGCATGTTAGTTTGATCTGAGTGCAGATAGGGTTTTCAGCACTTTACCAAGACAGCTCACTGCTCAAGGCCTGATGAACACCCACTGTCTGGGGAATTTTATGCTCTGAAACTTTCCAAGGAAAACTTACAGCTTTTTCTTGTAGGAAGAAAATCTTCCTGCTGTGCCTTACTTAAAAATCCTGGCTCTGAACAAATCTGAGTGGTTCTATGTACTGCTGGGAATGATTGCTGCTGCTGTCATAGGTGCAGTCAACCCAACATTTGCTGTTATATTTGGAAAAATCATTGGGGTAAGCTTTTTAGGGGTTTTATTAATTTTTTTTTTATTTTCAGGGGGTTGTTTTCAGGTTTGTTTGTGGGTTTTGTTTCTTTGGGGGTTTTGGTGGGGTGGGAAGGTTTTTGGTTTTTTTTTTTGTTTTGTTTTGTTCTGTTTGTGTTTTTTATTTTTTGCAACCGGAAGTTGCAGCCCTGAGCTTCCCTCATGTTCAACCACTGTTTTTTCCATGTAAGTCTCTGAGAGGAATTAACTTGTATAAATACATCCACTGAGAAATGTTGAAGGGAATCTCTAGAAGCAGAGGATAGTGGAACTGCATCTGACTAGCAGAGGAAAGGAGGAACATTGATGGATCTGGGAGAACAAATTAGTGTGATGTAGGTTAAATAGAAAGCTGGACTATCTACTGGGTCCGTAACAGAAGGTTGACTGCAGACTGACTTTAGGATCCAGGTTACTTGCTAAAAGAAATTAAAGTAGACAAGCTTCTTGAGGTGAAAAATGTAATGTGTGCTTGTCTACCTACTCATTTTTTCAGACTTTTTTTTCCTTTCACAGGCTTTTCAAGAAAGAGATCCAGAAAAAAGGAGTAAAAACACTGTGGTGCTTTCTTTAATCTTTCTTTTACTTGGCGTGATTATCTTCGCAGCATACATAATCCAAGTAAGTGTCACTACACTGAAATTTTAAAAGCTCTGAACTCTCCAGCAGGCTGAAGGTATAACTCATATCTATCAACACAATCTAAGAAGTTAAACACCAAGCAGAGCTTACAAAAATATGCACAAGTGCCAGGGTCTTCCTGAGATGTGTAGGTTTAATGTATATATTTACCTTAACAAACATATGTCTGTGTTTGCTCTTGGTTTAAATAATCCACTGAAATGTTAATTCAGTGTGATTGAAATCAAAGTTGAGGGTCTGGCCTTAAAAGTCAAAGTTAATACTGATATTTCTCACTGAGTAGTCTATAGATTCTTGCCAAAGTAGAAAGCAGACTCACTCTTTCCATTGCAGATGATGCTTTTCACACCATTGAATAAATTCCATCATTTGCTGTACTCTTAGGACTGCTTTAAAGCTTGCAGGAGATGTTTTGTGCCCACTGACATCTATATCATAAAAATCCATTGGCATGACTGCTATGAGTGAATGTCTCTGGTCGCAGTCAGGATAGGGAGGCAAATCAGTAGACAGGTTTATTTATCTTGCAGTGCTGCTGTCTGTGTGTGCAAGGTTGACCAGAAAAGTTTAATCTCCCTTTGCTTGGGTGGTTGTGATACAAATATGTAATATATAGATGCCTTCTTTGCTATGTTGCTTTCTTTCTGTGAGAAAATCAAGTCTCAGGTTCACGAATGTGAATGATGCTTTTCCTAGGACATATATATTCAGGGGGGTTTGAAGGTGTGATTGCTTTTTTTGTGCAGATTTATAAACAGAGTTACAGCACCAGGTGAGAAAATGTGACTCTTTTTCCTCCCCCAGGGATTCATGTTTGGGAAGTCTGGGGAAGCCCTAACCATGAGACTGCGCTCTTTGTCCTTCAGAGCATTACTTCAGCAGGTATGAAGTAGGCAGGTAGGGTATCGAGAGAGCAGTGGCTGTGGACAAGAACCTGTGTGTTTGTAGAAACATCTGAAAGGGACCAGAAGACAGTAAATTGGTGGTTGGAAGAAAAAAGAACTCTACCATAACCTTTGCAAATTAAAGAACTTCCTTTCTGTACGTTCAAATCCTTGTGGGACCCTTCCAACTCAGGAAATTCTATGATTCTATAGCTGATGGGATAGGTAATTGGTAAGAAAATAGTTAGGCATCCCTTGGTCCTGAAGAGGTTAAGTAAATGGGGGTTATAATAAAAGTTTCTAAATAGGCATGTTCAGGAAGCCATCACAGCCAAGAACACTTTGATTATGAACAATTAGATGTCCACAAAAAATAATGTTTTTTAAGCTTTTTCTTTTTGTTTACTTGGAAATACTGACTATGCAAAGAGAATATTCAGTTAGCCATCCTGTTTTGTATCTTCCTATAATTTTTTGAAACAAAAATCCATATCTTTTCTTGCAGGAGATTGGATGGTATGATGACCAGAAAAATGCTGTTGGTGTTCTGTTAACTCGTCTTGCTACAGATGCTTCCCAAGTTAAAGGCGTATGTTTATTCTTTTATGTGTATTTTTTAAGTAAATTTTTCCTTACAAATATTAATTACAATTGGCAAAGAATTAAAAGATTTTTTTTCAGAAAACAAAAAAGACCCCACAGACTGGCAGATGCATTTACGTTGCATGCTACAGACACATTGGAAATGGTTTCCCAGCAGATAATTATCAACAACTATCAAAAACCCGGATGTTTGCGTACCTTTCATGTTACCTCCCTGCAAGTTTTTAAGTTAAATATATCATAATTTTAGACCATTTCACCATGCAAAGTGAAATTGCATATATGCTTGGACCACAGACACTGGACCCCAGGAATCTGCACCCTGTTATGGGTGTCACCTGAATGCCACAAAGAGGTTCCATTTGCAGAGGATACAGGGATACAGAGACCTCAGTGAAGAGAATTCCTCTTCCTGTTGCCACAAAATGTGCTTTGCAAACAATAAGAAATAGACCAGCATAATTAAAAAGCACCACAGAAGGGCAAAGGGGAGAGATGGTCACTGGATGCTGGTGAGAGAATATGGCAAATTCTGTACAGTTCCTGCAATTGCTCACCTCATCAGCAGAACCTGACAATCTGCCAAACATTCCTGTTTCTTCTTGTCTCTTTGCTGGGGAAAACAAAATCACTGCAGGACTTGTGGGGAAAAGTTTTCTAGTATCTTTTTTTTTTCCTTCGTATTTGAACATCATTAATCCTTTAATCCCCACATTTTTCAGTCTCCATTGGTTTTTGTTTCTCTCCAATCATCCTTCATTGTAGGCTTGCAAGGATAAAACAGTGTTTGACAAAATTTAGTCATTTTCATCTTTTAAAGTTATGCAGAAGTTATCACCCTGTCAGGGCAATAAAAAGGAGGGATGCACGCAGTTCCCTAAAAAAACAAAGGGCATGAATGGGTCTCCAGACCTACTGTGTTTCCTGGAGTGCCAGACGTCAGTAAGTCAATACCATGCCTCATGCTGCACTGGGTGAAGTTTTCAAATCCATCTTTATGTGCAACCTCTAGAACATATGGCAACAATTCACCTTGGCATTGGTTTAGTTGTTAATATTTTAAATTTATTGAACAAGAAAAGTCTTTTCAGGTCAGGAAAGCCTTTGGCAAAAGAAAGCATATTTGCTTCCCACCCAAGGGTTTTTGTTTTTTTACCATCACGCCAAGCTCTAAGGAAGAGTTCTAAGGAAGATGAACTATTTCCACAGAGCTATTTGCAGAAGTTCTTTCTTCAGATCAGAGCCCACCCAGATGCTGGATGCTAATCAACTCTCATTTTGAAAAGATTTTGATGAAAAGGTTATACAGGCAAGGAGGAGGTGGGAATTCTTCAGTCGGAGTTAATCTTTCCTACTCATTATCCCAGTGAGATAAACCATTTCTGCAGGGTGGCAAAATTCAGATCTCCTTTCTCTAGGAACACAACTTAAGTGCAGCAATGTAAGAAGCTGAGGATGCATATCTTTCACCACTGTTAGTATGGAGGGTCTCAGTGGATGGCTGTTGTTAGAACCAAGCCCCTCTTGCCTAATGCTGGACATCTCACTGCCAACTCTCCTACTGTCACAGCGGTCACAATTTTCTCTTCCTTGGGTAGTGTGCAAAGTCCCAGATGCATTTCATGGAACAACTGTCACATTCAGCTCTCTAGACTACAGTAACACCTCCTGAAGGCCTGAATGTTGGCACGTGTGAGGAATCTATAGGAATGGTTGCATAAGTTGGTGCATAATGTCCACATGTGTGATTGCACATGGTTTCATTTTCCAGCCAAACCTTTGGCCTTGACTACAGCATTTTGAAGTGGTAAGTTAAGCAATGAAAAGAAAAATCTAATGACATATATTTGTGGGGTTTCTGGGGTTTTCTTAGGCAACTGGAAGCCGACTTGCACTGATGACTATGACTGCTGTTTCCCTTGCCACTGCCATCATTATTGCATTTGTATATAGCTGGCAGCTAACTTTGCTTGTCCTGGCCTGCGTTCCTTTTGTTGTTGGTGCAAATGCTGTGAATGCCAGCTCTATGTCTGGTCATGCTGCAGAAGATCAAAAAGCTTTGGAAGAGGCTGGAAGAGTAAGTTCTTCAATTTTAACTACAGAGTTCTGGTGTGAGATCACTTTTAAGGACAATATTGTAGTTATATTTTAGCTGACTCAGTTCTCCAAGATAAATGAAGGGTGTTAAGGGGAATTTTTAAATACCTTCAAGAAAAACGAAACACAGATAACACAAACCATCTGCAAATTAGAATATAAAAATGCATTTGAAAGCCTCCATAGTGGATTTCTGGGCAGTGGCCGCTGCAGCAGACACAGCCCCAGCACTGATGCCACCTTGTGTCTAGGCTGAGCAATGGGGCTCTGCACTGCTCTGCTGCAGTCAGAAGTGTCAGAAGGCAATACTGGTACCTTTTTATTCTGTCACAAAGGCAAGCCATAAATATGCTCAAGAGTTCCAAGGTGCTGTCTTTATTCACCTGGTAGTGCTCTTCTAGGAGGCAGAAGTAGTCCATGCAAAAGAGCAAGCTTTGTCCAGATTACTACTGCTGGTCCCCATTTTCTTACATTGGGTTTAATTCATGAGGGTCACAATCCGTGGGTTAGGGAAGACACTGCTGATGAATAATTTCATTGCTCAGTACTTTCCTTCACCTCGATCCCTACTCTTAAGCAAGCAGGTTCTGATCTAAAATAATAAATGAGAGCAAAAATCAAGTGTTCAGAAGCTATCTTGTAGTTTGCAATTGTAAGAGATTACCTCTTGTTTAATCTGTTTGTTTAGATTTCAACAGAATCAGTTGAAAACATAAGAACTGTAGCTTCACTGACCAAGGAAGAAGCATTTTATGAAAGATATGTTGCTAGTTTGAATCATACATATAGGTGGGTTTTTGTCTTTACAGTACACTTTAGTCTTTCAAGTTTACTCTAAATACTTTTCTTGTAATCAATACCTAATCAATATCCAAAAGACTGGGAAGAATATCAATATTCTTCCCAGAAGTATATTGCTGTTCAAATAGTTTTGAAATGTGTGAACCTGTTCAAATAGCTTTGAAATGTGTGTAATCTCTGTATTTTAATATACATTAAGTGCAAATTGAAAAAAATATTTAAGGATTTGTCTTTATCATGCAAACACTTTATAAACTGCATTCTCTGTGTATGTGTTGCAGAATATTGTGTTTGCCTACAATATAGGGTATATGTTCACTCCAAGTCAGTGCATTGCACTGATACTGCTTAACTTAGGAACTGATAGTCCCACCACTCCATTTATAACATAAACCAGTTTTATTCCCCTCATATGGCTTTGAAACCTTGAAAATAAATTCATACATTTCCCTGTTTGATCCACTACACCCCACTGACCTTTCTCCACTGAAATGCATTTGAATCACTGCAGTTGCCAGATTTTCCTAGTTCCATTTTTTTTAAAATAAAATAACCAAAAATCTAAATTGCTTCTAATGTAAAAGAGGGAATTGAAAATTATGTATTGCACAATCTGTCCTCAGCCAAAATAGTGTTAAAATTTAATGTCTGATGAACAGCTAAAAGCAAGATTTGGTCAGGATGCTTGCTTGGGCTGTCACAGGTCTGATTTACAGCTCAGACTTGAGAAGATGTTTCCTCTTCCTAAGAGAGCATCTTAAACAATGAGGACAGAGAGTTCCCCAGATTCTTATTTGGTGTGAGTTCAATTAGCTATACAAACTGAAACCTTTCCAGAGGGATAGATTGAGAAATGATGGCATAGTCTGAATTCCTTTGGGGATTCCCAGCAATGCGCCTCTGCTCCACTCGGATGGGATGAGCTGGTGGAACCCTGGAGGTAGTCCTTAGGCCAGGCTGGTGCCTGCTTGTTTTCTTAATAAAATGAGTCATATGGGGTAGTTATAAACTTATTTCATTTTAACTAGCTGCTCTAGTGACCTGCCCTGCTATAAAAGATTCAATTTAACATAACTGAGGATCAAGGGTTTCATTGCTTTCTGTCCTAAGGGCATTTCTGTGTCATGAAGCCAGAGGCTTTTAGGGTCTGGCAAGGATTGCTTGTGTGTGTGTGTGTGTGTTGTGGGCTGATTTGTTGTGTTTTTGGGAATGACCTGGATTTCTTGAAAACTTAATTCCAGAAGTCTGGCTATCCCCCAGCCAGTGTCTGTTGTTTTTCTTTTACAAGCAATTTATGGAAAGTCTTGTCTTTTATCAGAAAATCTCTGAAAAAAGCCCCTTTGTATGGATTTACCTATGGAATAGCTCAGAGTTCAGAATACTTGAGGAATCCAGAAATTCAGTCTGGTTGGGAGTGTTCTTTTGGGCATAAGGGAAGCATTGGGGAAAGGTACACTGCATATTGGGCAGTGAAACAGCAAGAGTATGCAGCAAGCTTAGCACACCTACTCTGGAGAAGCCTTTGCCTTTTGATGTCCCTTCCAGGCAGAGGGTGTTAAAAGAAGTGATATGATACCACTGTTCAGCTGTAAAGTAGGTATGGGAACAAGCTGACCTTCCTAATACTGGATGACATCTTGGAGTGTGAAAAGCTCCAGAATTATTATAACCTAAAGATGCTAAAAAGCATTATTCTGGAGGTGTTTTACGCAGTCGGAAAAGAACGCATTGTTCTACCTGGAATGAATCATGCCTTGTCCTTTGCTTTTTAGAGTCTTCTCTGCTGTCGTGTTTGCAGCTATGAATGTTGGTCAGTCTTCTTCCATGGCACCAGACTATGGCAAAGCTCGAATATCAGCTCAAAGAATCTTTCAACTTTTGGGCAGAAAACCTGTAATTGACAGTTACAGTGAACAAGGTGAAAAATTGGTAAGGGTTGGTGATATTTTGTATGGGGGCTTGGGGGGTGGATATTGGAGATCTTTTTCTTTGAGCTTCTGATGTTTTTTTTTTTTTGGAAGGAGTGTTCTTTTTTTCACAGGAAAAAAATGTTGTAACAAACTAAATTAGTAATTATCTATTATCAGCAAGTGTATTCAGGTGTCCATTTCTTAGGGTGTCAGAAAAGGATGCTGAGTTAGGATGAGCTAATGAATGGAACCTACAAGAAGGATGGAGAGGGACTTGTTACAAGAGCGTTTAGTGGCAGAACAAGGGGGAATGGATTCAAACCAAGATACTATAATATCTTAGATGAGACACTAGAAAAAGAATTCATAACTGTGAGGGTGGAACAGGTTGCCCAGAGAAGTTGTGGATGTGCCATCCCTAGAGGTGTTCAAGGCCAGGTTAGATGAATCTCTGAGCAACCTGGTCCAGTGAAGGGTGTCCCTGCCCATGGCATGGACTAGATGTTTTTTAAGGGCCCTTCCAACCCACACCATTCTGTAGTTCTGTCAAAAGACTGATGCTATATAAGTAGTGGTACTGACTTATTTAGGGACCATATTATTTCTGGGTTTCAGACAAAAGTGTATGGCCTTTAAGGTAGTTTTGTTCTAAATGATTTTTAAAAAATACTTTTCATTCTACTGACTCACAGTGTAAATGGCTTCAGAAAAACACAGATAATGTCAGTTCCAATAAGGGTTTTGTTGTTTCTTTAAAGGTTTATAGGAGAAATAAAATACTAATGCATTTTTCTAATTAGTTTATAAATAAGAGAGATTAGTTCCTTTACAGTCAGATGCTTTGCCAAAAGCCATCCTATTCCATTTATGGAAATTTTTACCATTAAAAATGTGCTCTTGTGAAGTCAAAACAAGCTTAATGAATAATTTAGTTTGTTCTAAAGTTGTGGGATGAAAAACACAACAAGCAAAAAACAATAAAAAGTGAAATCAAAAACCACCCAAATGTTCCCCAGAGCCTTGCTTCTAAACCAAAATTGTCATTGAGGAGGCTGACCTCAGCACTTGACAAATTTCTGCATATAATTCTTTCAATTTACATGTTCTAGAAGGATTACAGTGGCACATCCAGGTTCATCTAAATTTAAAATTATCTTCTCATGTAGGCTTAGATGGTAGCTCCTACTCAGGAAGCCATAATCCAATTTTCTATAAATTCAAGCTCATATACAGGATTTTCAGCCTTTAAAGTTCTGATCATACTTGCATATTTTCTTGAACCAGGGTTCTCTGGCACAGACATTGAAAGACTTGGCAGAAGGTCTCCAGTAAAATGAAATTTAAGTGAAAACATTTTTAGTATAGACTGGACTGAACTGCCAGTGATGCCTGTGACTAAGCAAAGCTTTGAGACCATCAAATTACATTATTACCTGCTATGAGAGCGTGGTATTAGTGATGCTGCTGTTATGTACAGGGGGCTGGCTCATATCCCAGAGAACAAGACAGACAGTAGCTTTGGCATGTGCCCTTTTTCTTCCACTTGTGCTTGAATATCAGCCTGGCTAGGATGGCTAATTAACAATTATCACTGCTTTTTAAAACACAGTTTGTCCTTTGTTCCCCTAAATAACCTACTGAAGAATTTAGCTCTGCTATCTCTGATTTTGACCTTGTGTTACATTTGTTCAAATTGTGCTACCTGCAGGGTAAGATGGAGAAAGCAAATGATGCACTTTATCTCACAAGTAGAATTGTCTCAATTAAATGTATTAGAAATGAAAAATCTGGATTTTCCTATATTTTTCTATATTTTCATAATGTCTATTTTATTTAAGGGGGTGGTTGGACACTGGAACAGGCTCCCCAGGGAAGTGGTCACAGCACCAAGCCTGACAGAGTTCAAGAAGTGTTTGGACAATGCTGTCAAGCATATGATGTGACTCTTGGGGATGGTGCTGTGCAGACCCAGGAGCTGGACTCTGATCCTGGAGAGTCCCTTCCACCTCAGCTTACTCTGTGCTTCTGTGATATTCTTTTCAAAGCTGAAGTGAAAAATAGACACAAGAGATGCATAAAACTTCTCCAAAAGGATGTTGTGACTTACAGATCATCCTATAACAAGTGATACTATGATCAGTCCAATATTTCATTTAAAAGAATTTTGAAAACACCTTTGAAAACACCTCCCCAAACTTTCTTGGATCTCTCACTTTAATAACCAAGTCATAATGAGTGTTGTTATAGTTAAGGCTAATAAATGTTAATATGAGCATGTGAACTCTCTACTGCTTTTCAGAGCCATTTTGAAGGCAACATTGAATTCAGAAACATCCATTTTGTATATCCAACAAGGCCGGAAGTTCAGGTTTTGCAAGGACTCAGTGTGAAGGTTAACAAAGGACAGACTCTGGCATTAGTAGGAAGCAGTGGCTGTGGCAAGAGCACATCCATTCAGCTCTTGGAGAGATTTTATGACCCTGTGGAAGGACAAGTGGTAAGAATAGACTTGTGTGGCTATTAATAGTAATTAAATCTACAGAACTCTTTATCTGCTAAGGTTTCAGATGCTTTTGTCAAGCCTGGCAGTCCCTCTGTTGAGATGCTTTTTTCAGAGGTGTGAGTTACTGAGGCTGTGCCTCCAGTGGATCTGTAGGCAGTCCCCAAACCCTGTCATTGCCCACCCTGTGTGTTTGCCCACACATACCAGCAGTGGCACCCATGCTGGCACAATGTGCCTCCTCAGCTCTTGCCTGAGAAAGGAATGGCCATGTCCAACTGCATTTCCTCCCCAAGGCTCCCCGTGCCCCAGGCAGACGGGAGCATAACACCAATGTATCATGCTTGTCAGTGTCTAAGTTTTCTTGCTGATGTGAATTAACATTTTAGGGACACAGATTCATGCTTCAGATAACACAAATGTAATCTCACATAGATGTTATTGTGCCACCAGGAGACAATTATTGTGTCAGGAGGTCCCAAAGGCCTTTTTGATGCAACCCCTGTTAAAGGGTATAAAAAGTTGAAAGAAACCCCCTTTGGAGGGTGTGCAATCAAAAGGCCTATAGCTGAGAATATTTATTGTTGTGTTCAGCTTCCTAAGGGACAGGCTTTCCCATGAGCATCCTGGTGCTTCTTGTGGTCAGTAGGGCTGGAAGAACCACAAGAACGACCTGTTTACCTGCATGTTGTTTCTGCCTACTAGCAAATGGAAGTAAAAGAACACAAAATTAAAACTAATGCAGGAAAATATTTCGTCTATACTGCTGGTTCTTTCCATTTACCATGCAAAAAATTTACTTAATTGCATCTGGTAAAATAACACATAATGGGCTTTGTCTTAGAATTGTTTTCTGTTTACAGCAGGTATGTGTGGATGAGCTCAGGAGCCAGCTTGGCATCATGTTTCTGTTGTTTTTTCTAGCTAGCAGACGGATTTGATACCAAATCTCTGCATTTACAATGGCTGAGATCCAGGCTGGGCCTGGTGTCACAGGAGCCCATTTTGTTTGACTGCAGCATTGCTGAAAACATCCAGTATGGAGACAACAGTAGAGTGGTTAGTCAGGAGGAAATTGAAGCAGCAGCTAAAGCAGCCAATATTCATGCCTTCATTGAAAAACTGCCAGAGGTAAGTGACAGTGATGTTCAGAGTGAGATCATATATTTGGGATGATATAGAGAAATCAAGGTAGTGCTCACTTGCTTAGATCAAATTAAAAAGAAACATTTTTGTTTCCCCTAATGTAACCTTTATTATTTTGAAATGTCAGTGTGTTTCAAGCTTTAAATCCTTTTGTTAAAAAAAAGGCATGTTTCCATTTTTATAGTTATTCCATTATTATGCAATTATTCCATTATTACAGTGGTAGACAACTCAGAATATTTGGGGGGTGAGGGGGAGGTGGGGAGAGGGAAGTGATAGAATGTTCTACGTATGAGTAAGTGCTCACAATAATTTCTTTATATATTTTTTCCTTTGACAGCAGAACCTCTTCAGGTTACTCAGACATTTTATTTTTCTAAAAAAATTTAGTAAAACAAAGTCTACTTCTAACTGAATGGATATGCAGAGAGAGAGTGTTCCTTAATAAATGCAAAGGGGCAGTAAATCAAAAGTAAATGGCATGACATTTGACCTTCATGCCTGGCAAGAATTTGGTTCTAACAAGGAAAAATGCCTTGATTATTTTCACTGTAGTTCTGGGTACCTGAAACTGAGGTAATGATGCTACCAATTACTACTAATAATGTTTGAGATTCTTAATTCAGAAGCAGTGCAGCATCAAGTTCTTTGTGTATATGTCAGTAAGCATTAAATTGTCAGTTAATCTTATTATCATATGCTCTGTGGATGCCTCACTGCTGGCACCATTCAAGACCTATTCCAGCCTTTGAGGGAGTTAATTTTCAGACTGGGTATGGATATGTGTGGCTGTACACATAGCTGCATGTATGAGAGATGTTTATAAACCTTAGCTTTCCTAAAACCACTTGCACTATTCTTGCTTTCAAGATGAAATTGCTTAACTTTTGTAGCCATGAATAAATTTTACTTTTCTAGTCTTCCTTCTCTGAGAGTATTCACTGGTGATTTTTGAAATGTTTTAACATCCAGAAATATAATACCCGGGTGGGTGAGAAAGGAACACAACTTTCTGGAGGTCAAAAACAAAGAATAGCAATTGCCCGTGCTCTGGTTCGTAATCCTGCTGTTCTGCTTCTGGATGAAGCTACCTCTGCTCTTGACACAGAAAGTGAAAAGGTGAATAATGATTGTTATGTGAAATACTTATGCCTATGTACATGGTTAGTTGCTTTCTGTAGAATAAAATTAAACCAAGCATGCTTCAAATGCTCAATTGTGAAACAAGTCAGGTGTATCACAGTAGCTTTTTTTACCTAAGAGGCTTGAATTGAACTATATTAGAAAGCTGTTTATATAAACTCAAAAAAAAGGTAGAAGAAAATCTGAAATTTTAAGTATAAAACTCCACATTGATGTGATACTTCTCAGTTGTCATCCTATCTATCAGATGTTATTTGCATTAAATACTAAATTTGTGTTCTGACTCAAGCTTGGATGCCCAAGAACCCACTTCTCCACATCTCACATTTGTTTGATCAGGCTCACTGACCTCAGTGAGAAATCCTGTTGAGTAAAGGTGTCCTTTGTGCATTGACTTGTGCATCTGTGGGACATGTATTCAGGTGCCAAGAGAGTGAGAAACCAAATGTAGTTCCTGGGACAAGGGGGAAGCTCTTTCAGGTGCTAACAGTACTGTCATGTTATCTGTGTGCAGATTGTCCAGAAAGCACTGGATAACGCTCGGCAAGGTCGGACCTGCATCGTCATTGCTCATCGCCTGTCCACCGTGCAGACAGCCGACATCATCGTGGTGATCCAGAACGGCAGGGTGGTCGAGCAGGGCACCCACAGCCAGCTGCTGGCAAAGGAGGGACACTACTATGCCCTTGTAAATGCACAAGTCTCTAATTAGTATTACTTGCTGAGTTGTTTTGGTTTTTTTTTATTTTGTTTTGTTTTTTTCTGGGAGGACATGAAAAGCTCTACAGAGGATTCCAGCTGGCTGTGCTGACCAAGCAGGAACTGTGTTGCAGCCTGGTTGCTGTATCCAGCACAGCCCTTGGCCCACACACCCATGGGGATGAGCACGGTGCTGGGTCACAGAAGGTGCACAGAGGAGTCCTAGGGACTGAATGTGTCACATTTGGTGTGTGTCACATGCTCTGGAGGGTGTCAGACCTGGTGTAGTCTCACCCACAGCTCAGGTGGGTACCCTGCTCTCCCTGTCCTCCCAAACCCTGACCCAGAACAGCTGCTATAGACCAAGGTGGTAACAGGGTATGACAGCAGTGGTGTCAACAACAAGCTGGTGCTTGTAATTGCTCTTTGGGTTTCTTCATCAGCCAGATGAAGTCATAAAGCCTTCTTTAGTTAAATATGATTATCAATTCTTACTGAAAACTGAGGTTCCATAAAAAAAGATTTTGTTAAAGATAAGGATGTTGATACATTGATTTCATTTTTTTCATTACTTTATGCCACATTTCTAATATTACTGTGCTTCACACATTTCTTGGATAACCAATACTCTATTTCAGACAATAATTATGATAGTTACAACCTCTACATATCAAGATAAACTGCATAAAAGATACCATTGTTTTGTTTAGTATTTTCCAAATGCTTATCTAACAGAATTTATTTGTTCTTTGTATCCATCAAGATAATTTCAGAAGTCTTGGGGGATGGCATCTATTGGAGTGGACTCCTGTCAACCATGTAAACAGCTTTTCTTTAAATAAAGAAAAAAGGAAAAATTGTTTTCAATATAAGTTCCTTTCTTTTTAATAGACATGATACTTAGGGTCATGGTTTAGTAGTGGACTTGATAGTGTTAACATTTGGACTTGATAATTTAAAGGGTCTTTGCCATTCTAAATGATTCTATTATTCTATGAATAATTTCAGATTTTTTTTAAGTGTTGGCAAAGCTTGTTTATACATGTGCTTTAACAATTTGTTATTCCTCTGCTATATTCCTCAGGGTGCTGCAATACATCCTTTCACTGTTGAAGAATATGTACTGTGTAGTCAGAGTGACTCAGCAGCTGGGGCTTTTTGCCTGGTTAAACCAAATTGAAGCATTTCAATTTTCCAAGGCTTTGCACGTGGCTTTGGGTTAGAATTAATAGCCTGGAGCAACCTGCAATACTTTATAATTTCCAGATTGTAGCAGACAAACTTACAGTAATTACCATCTCCTTTGCTCATTTCAATTATTTTCCAGCATCTGAATCTGCAAGGGGAATAAAACACAAAACAAACTCTGATCTTGGGTTTGCCAAAATAAATACAGTTGTTCTCCCTCAAGAAGACTTTCTCAAAGACTGTTTCAAGAGGATTTTTTTACTCAGTCAGGCACCCCTCCTGTGTGATCTCTTCATTTTCTTGTGATAGCAGTTCCATAGTATGTGCCCAATTATCTAATGTGAGGTCAAATTAATTCCCTTCTCCCTGCTTTATTTCTGCACCAGAGTTAAAATTACAAACACCAGATTTTGATTCTCAATTTAGAAAATAAAAAGGAGAAGTTAGTTCAGTGTGTACCGTATCCACTACTTAGCAGTGGGTAACTTTTGCCCAGTTCCCTTTCCCATCACCAGTTTCCATTTTTTTGGAGCTTTCCAGTGATGGAGGTTGGAAACAGCTCCCCACTCTGAGGCTCCTGCCAGGCCTCAACCTCTGTGTGTAACAGCCAGCTTGACCCTCAGGGACCTGAGGAGGATGCTGTATCCGTGGTCAAGGTGCAGAGGAGGTGTAAACTGCTTTGATAATTCTCTTGTTCTGCCTCGGGGTCACCACGAGCAGAGAGCACCCTTGGTGCCATGAAAAGGACCCCTCTCCCTCTGCAGGGAGCCTACTAGCACACAGGCTGAGCTGGATGACTTTACTGACTCCATGAGATATAAAGAGATAAATATATTCGTCTTGTAGGCATTAATAGTAAACTCTGTGCTCTGATAGTTTATTTCAGGCCATCCATGTCACCTTCCTGGCTGGGTATGCCCATAGAGCTTGCAAACTGGCTATGCTCTGATTGAAAGCAGGCCTAAATTAAGAGAGAAATGTATGTCAAAAGCACCTATTTCAGCACCAAGCCCTATGTGGTACACAGATCAAAAGAATCAACCCTGACAGAGGATTTGTTTGCTCTACCAAGTAAATGCTCAATTTTTCCTTCAAAATACCTTCTCTGAAGTCTTCACCCTCTTTTCTGGGAAGGCATATCTTAAAAATTCCAAAGGCGACTTAGATCAGTGTTGGCATTAAGCAAGTGTCCGAGCTAAGTGCTCCTCTCCTAGTCATGAATGAGGCCTTTGGTGTTCCTTGACAAGCACAGGCCAATGTTTTCCCTTCACCCCTATCCTTCTGGCAGTCATTTTAGGAGTGAGGTCCCCTCCTCAGTGATGCCAGCAGTGACTCAACATATTGTGGGCACGTTTGGAGAACACCAACACTTGTGCAGGGTTAGGGGAGATTTTAACTCTGACACCTGGGATATAAAGCAGCACACAACAAACATTTCAGGAAAAAAAATGTAATTATAAACATGTTCTGGCCAGGACAGGGTTAGTTTTTGCAGTAGCCAGGAGGGAGCCTGACCAGGACCTGAAGGTTTTTCTATAGCACCTTCTCTTTGCCAGGGGTGGGGCAAATGGAGTCTCTTCTGGGAAAAGGGGTTTTTTGGGGTTGAGTAAGTTTGGTTTTATGAGAGCAATGCTCCAGCTTGTCCCCCATTTAGGGCTCATCTGCTACCTGCAACCATGGCCACTCTGCCCAGGGATCTCAACTTTTCCAAGGAGAAACAAGCAGCTTACCTAAGGGAGACAGATAAGAAAGCTGGAGAGGGACATTTTACTAGGACAGGCCACGGGGTGATGGCTTTAAACTGAGAGAGTAGATTAAGAGCAGACATTAGGAAGAAGTTCATTACCATGGGGGTGGTCATGCACTGACATGAGCTGCCCAGAGAAGAGGGGATGCCCCACCCCTGGAAGTGCTCAAGGCCAAGGTGGATGGGGCTGTGAACAAAGTGGCCTATGGAAGGTGCTCCTGCTCATGGTGGGGAGGCTGGGACTAGGTGATCTTACATGTCCCTTCCAACCCAAACCAACCTGTGATTCCATGGAGAGCAGAAAAATTCATACAGTTTAGCTGGAGATATGGCTGTGTCTTGCTGAAGCAGGAAATGCAGTGGCAGTTTTTCTAAGGTAGTATCAAACTCTTCTGTTTCTTAATGAATTTGGATAATATTAGAGGAATGTGCTCTGGCAGTCACTAGAACGACATCCACACTGTGAATAAACTGGACAAAACTCTGGATGAAAGCCTGTACTTTACCTCTTTCTGTGTATCCCTGCTGCTGTGTGTAGACAAACCAGATTTCTGTACAACACATCTTCCCCACGTCTGCGACATTAAAGTGTTTCTAAGATCACCAACATAGTAAAGAAGAGTAACAGCTAGGTAGCAAGGTCACAAACAGCATCTGTATAGTTTCTTCTTACAAAATGCACTTGAAGGGCTTGTTTGTTTAGTCCTGATCCTTAGGTACTAGTAAATGACTGGTAGTTTTAGATGCAAAGGTAGAAAAATCCAGTTGCCTTGTTATCATTCATCACCTTCCAGCTGCCCTTTATATGAGCTTCACTACATATTGCCCATCTCCCTGACATTTTCCAGGGTTATAGTTCTTCCTGACTGTTCTCTTCAAGTTGCCTGGACTGCTTTTCCTCCTCAAGCACCTTGCCTAGCACACACAACAGATGCTGCACCATGTGATCTGGTGCCAAACGCAGGCAGAGATGAGAGGGGAAGTGGAAAAAACAACAGCAAAGCTAAATAATTACTTTCTAAAATCAGCACAAATTTTCAGCAGAATACTGGTCACTGCATTCATTAAATTAATAATTTACACTGGATTACTTTCATCTGCCTCTGTGCTGTGCTTTGTTATCCAGAGTGCAGGCAGCTCCTATCTACTTGAAACCCTAGCAATTATCTCATTTTAGCATTTTATTACCTACCTGGTTCATCAGCAGTTAAGTCCAGAAACTATTTCCTGAAGCATGCCATTTGGAAATAATAATTTGTTGTTCCCTTAGGGAAGCTCGCACATCCGCTGGAGTTATCCCCAGCCTGCACAGTGACATCAGTACACAAGCTCCAAAGCAAACTTGCTAAGCCTTCCTGTAATTCTCCTGAAGATGCCAGTCTGTACTGAATGCTTTCACAAAGATGTTTTAAGGTCATGTTAGCTCAACAAATAGTTTTTGTGCTTAAATTGACCGATATACTTTTCATTGCACTGTGCTTTCCATAGGAGTAACATTCTCATTTTTTTCTAATCCTTATGAACAGAATGTGTTTTTACTGCCCTCTCTCCTGTGTTGTCCAAAGCAAAACTACTTTGCAGTCAATCACCACTGGAATAGTCCCTTTTGTTATGGTCCTTGAAGTTTGAAAGAAGGACTATATGAATATGTCTATTTTTGTGGAAATAATTGTTCAAGTTCAACCCAGCAAAAAAAGATGTCCCCGGTATTTGATCCACTGCAAGCAGCATTCCTGGAGAATGCACATGTTATTCTACCAGGAGGGTAACAAGGGGGAAGAGGCACTGCTGTGGGGCACTTATCACTTAATTGCAGACATTTGGGTCTGAAGCAATCAATCAGATTGCCTTTAAAGTACTCTAGGACATGATTCTTCTCCTTCCAAGTGTCTGCATTTGGAACAGGCAGTGAACTACATCAGGGAAGTGCCTATTTCTTACCATAAATTGAAATTAAGAGTATCAGTTTTCAGTCAGAGTATGTATTTGCATTTATATTTACATCAGCTCTGAATGTTTTATGTTTCTTAAAGAGATCACTAGTTTAGTTTATCAGTCCCACAAATAATTCTTGGAGATCTTTGCCTGGGATCTCCAGGCATCTCCAGATAGGCACTGGGGAGCCCAGTCTTGCAGCCAAGTGCTTCTAGAAAGGGTCTATGCAGTAAACAAAGGACAGATTTTTTCATTTAGATATTAGCTGTGCAAGAAGCTTTGGAGTGAAGGAAAAACATTCAGGAAACGGGAAATATTTATCCCAAATATGAAAAAATGG